GGGAAAGAAGATGAGGATATGGAAAAGTTTAAGATATGGGTTATAATAGGTGTTAAAAAGTCCAACAGGGGAATGATCATTTTACGACTGACGTCGTCACTTCCGACAGCGTCGGAATGGATAGAGAGTATGTGTTTCCTAACATCACAATCTGCAAATTGCCTAAACACGAATGGAGAAAAGTCAGGAGTGGGAAACGATGAAAGTTGAGTAAGTGTTGCTGATTTTGCCATATTGTTCAGGCAAGAAACGGAAGAAAAATGCTGATTAAGCAAATTTAAATCCACGTTATTTGGAATAGGACATGAACGAGTTTTCCCAACTCCAATAGACCTTAAGAAGTTCCAAATACGACATGGATCTTCGTTTTGTACTGATTTATGGATGTGGCGGCGTCGTAAATCTCTACACATCTTGTTGCATTGATTTCGTAGGAGTCTGTACTTCTCCCGAATCCTGTCATTCTTAGGATCTGACTTGTAACTCGACTTTGCACTATTCTTCCTGCAGATTAATCTTTTAAGATCTTCGGTCAACCACGGAGCTGGAGGATGACGTATTCGCACTGGGCGGACAGGAGCATGAGCATCATAAAGTTGAACAAGAAGTGAATTAAACAATGCTACCTGTTCGTCAACATCACAAGCCTTCATTATAACGCTCCAGTCCATATTAGCAGCGTCTTTTTGAAGCTTATCCAAATCCATTTTCTCAAAATTACGCTGCAGAAGTATCCTTGATTTGGCTTTGGGTGGTCTTATTTTATAAGATAGAAACAGGAGATCATGATACGAAAAAGCATTTGCAGCACATTGACCAAAACTATCAACATGGTCAAGAGAAGAAACGATAACCAAATCAAGGAGGGATGGGATACAGTTAGGGAAAAAATGAGTTTCAGAGAGAGGAAGGATATTTAAATTGGCTGCTTCTATAAGGGACTTAAGCCGGAGAGATCGGGCATCATTCTTGAGAAGGCAAGTATTAAAGTCGCCCATTAGCACTGTATGTGTATATAATGGAGTTAACTCTTCAAGAAGGTTATCCAAAGTAGTAAAATAGTCCACTGTGGAAGAGGGACTATAAAAAACTCCGAGAAGTAATTTGTTGTGCGAAAGAAGTACTTCAACAAATAAGTATTCTGCTTCGTTCTCAGCTTGAGATGGAGATGATAAACAAACAATAGAAAAAGGAATATGAGCACGAATGTAAATGGCAACACCACCACCACCTCGCGCAGTTCGGTCGTTGCGTATTAACTGGAATCCTGGAATGGAATAGGATATAGAAGGAAGACATGGCTTTAACCATGACTCCGAAACGAGAATTGCATGAACATTATCACTTTCAAAACTAGCTAACATATCTGGATAATGAGCCGGAATACTCTGTGCATTTATGTGGACTACATTGAAGTTTTTGATAGCTTGAGAAAAATAGGAGTCAAGGGTCTGTTTTAATGGAGGAATGCTCTCAAAACTGTCGTCATTACTTAATACATCAGACGCAGAAAAGAAAGGGGAGGAGCTTTGAATATGATCACTTTCACCAAAAGACATGTTATCCTTACAAAAATATTAAAAAAAAAAAATTCAAACAACTGTAAATTATTAAAAAAAATACTAATAACTATAAAAATTATAAACTAAACCTTTTAGTTAAATTTACTACCTACCAGCATTTACAGAATAGAAAATAATGCAAATATTTAAAAAAAAAAAACAATCAAAAAAGGTACTACACATATGCCATTCAGATCATATTTGATTGAACAAAAATATATATATATAACACAAGGTGCTTATGAGAAATAACTGAAACCACAGACACTGATATTAAATAGAAAATTATGTACTGTGAGTAGTACGTTAGGAGTCATTTGTGAGTATATATTAAACATTAAGTCAAAACCACTTTTATGCTTGCAATAATGTTAACAAAGTACACGTCCGACAAGGCCGCATAAGCATGGATACCTTTGCATAAAAAAAATACAAGTAAACAAATCTCCATGTTAGTACACCAAGAGCATTTAATACCTACTCTGTAATGAGAGGATATTTCTCTAAGGTAAATAACCTAGTGATTATATACTCTTTGCATAATTGTAGAAACAAAAATTTATTAATCTGTGGTCGAAACCTAAAATAACAGTTAATTATCAGTATCAATATCAAATACCTACATTGTTAAAATAACCTAACTTAGAACAACAAATTCAGAACAATAGACAAAGTCTAAGTTTCAAAGTGATGTAGATAGATAATACTTCGTATATAATAGGAATCCATAACGACTAATTAACTCACATCTTATTTAACACTCAACATTAGACTGGTATAAAAGAATTTAGGTTATCGAAAGTACAATGCAGAGACTAATTAACTCATATACGAGTATATACAAAACTACTAGACTAATTATATATATATGAAAAAATTAACTCATATCTTAAATAACACTTAACATAAGACTGGTAAAAAAAGAAATAAGGTTAGCAAAAAGCACAATGCAGACATACTGAAATATTGACAGAAATCATAATGTGATAAAAGACAATACATACAGTTTATTGAAGAGAACTAAAGGTCCTATACCACATAACTATCACTTCTTCACTATCCTCCTGGAGCGCTGAACTACTTTGTCAGTAGATCTATTACTTCCAGCGACTGCCTTCTGTGCTTGGGTAGCAGCAGCTGGTGCCACTGGGACGACTTCGAGCTCAGCGAGGGATTCAACTTGATGGCGCGAACCGTCATAAGCGATAATATGAATGTAACCATCCCTAGTCCAGCAATTACTTATGCCAAACTTCTGCCTGGCCACCATGAACATCTTGTGACGATCTTTTGTTAAAAACTCGGACATAGTTATACCCGTGTCTTTCAGTTTTGTTTTTGAGAACCAAACTTGATCACGGACTCGGACATCCCGGAACTTTACAAGAACTGGTCTTGGCTTCTTTTCTATTGGACGTCCAAGGCGATGGCAGCGGCTAAAAGAATCGTTAGAGACATTGGGAATCTTGAGCTTGTCCATAATTAGGTTAGAAGCCATTGAAGATGTATCCTCGGACTTGTCCTCGGGAATCCCATGAAGCAGCAGAATCTTACGACGCCGTCTTATCTCCAAGCGGTCGATCTCTCTCCCAAGAAATTCAACCTGTTTTTGAACAGTTTCAAGAGCGGACAAGATAAACTTTCTGAATGTTGCGAACTCCGTTGAGAGTACAGATATATTTGAGGCCACAGTTGGACTAGTCTTATTTAAGTCCTGCTGAAACTCATTCATACGAGTATTGAAGAGTTCTGACATAGCTGACAGTGATCCTTTGAGGGCTTCCATGGTTTCGTGTAGTGTTAGCAAATTAAGGAAAAAATATATCAAGGAATCAAGGCTGGTAAACAGATGATTATTACATATATATTTTACACATTAAAATATCCTAATTTCTATTTTTAAAATATAAATTACGCGAGACTGATCACAAACATGTGTTACTTATTTCACTCCTACCCACGAAAAAAAGGACATTTTCATTCCAAAACTAAAAAGACACAAGACTCTTAGAAAATTTGCATTAAATGAAATAAATATATAATAATAATGAATTAAATTGCGCATGAAAATGGAATATCAGTAGACTGTTCTGTTTTTACACAGTTTTTCTTTAAATAAGTTTAAATCGTATTTTTATATAGTTTTTAGTTAAGTGATATGTATAAATCTTTATAACAATATATAAATATCTTTGGATCTTTGGAAAAACTGGATCTATTGATCGACCTCATTATGTTGAACAAATTTCTAATGGCGACAAGGGCGATAAACGTTAAAACACAAAAAAATATATTTACGATTTATAAATTTGTGGAATGAAATGTTTGAAATCGTTTTTAATGACAAAATAATATGAACAATTTTTATCTCCAGCTTGTTACAGTCAACTGCTGCTTCTTCCGTGTAGTGTGAGAATTTTTCACCTGGTAATACATAGTTTTGCACCACACGCACTTTTAAACTACATAATTTCTTTAAATAAAATGAAAGTTCAACTTATATAATATGTATGTCGTAGCCAACTAAATTATTAGCCTTTCAGTTAAAAGTCTAGCCTTTTTACTTCAACAAGCGGCCTGAATGACATTCAGCCGTTGCGTCTAATACACATTGCATATCTTCTAATATCAGCGATAGTATGTTAAGGTGCAGGTGGCGTGGCCCTGACATAGTGAATAAGCACAGACCAACGACCGTCTCGTTGAAAAAAATGAATAGTGTGACCATGCCATGTAATGTCTAGGCTGTTAACTGACAGGTTAACAGCCTAGACATTAACTAGTCGCCTGTGACATAATATATACCGGATTACTTATAAATACCAGATTTCATATAAAAGAAAAAAAATTGCATCAAGGAGTTTGTTATGACCTTAACCTTCGACAGGCCGATGGGTAGAATGTTCACTTCAAATTTACTAATTTGTAATTGTAATTGTACTTATTGATAGATTTATTAAATAAAGTGCTCTAGTGATAAAAAAGAAAGAAAATGCAGTCATACTCATTGTGCCCCCTACAGGAAGCGACACAAAGTGTAATATACTGGACACCATAAATATGACGTCTGTAGATCACAGATAAACCTTTACGGTTTTCGCAATGGTGTAATTATTTATGGTTATGTGAGACTCTTGCACTAAATTTAAAAAGTCTTCTCAACGTCTAATGTTTGATATTCAGAAGAATGCACCAGCTGGTTGTAACTACATAGAAAGGATCACACAAAGTCACCACGCTGAGCAGGGTCGGTAATACGATAAACGCAGTGCCTATAATTTTACATTACTTATCCAATAGTATACTTTATCATCAGTTTATTTTAGTTCATATTTTCGGAATGTGAGGCTAATAAGGAATTTTAAAATCTCACTTTTACCTGAAAATGAATACGATGTCAAAGGTACATTAAAATTGTATAATGCATTTTATTTTTACCTGTATTGTATCGACAAAAGGTCCAAAAGCCTTCCATGGTCTGAATATGATATTGCTATTTTCTTCACCAGGGGCCGAAGTGCTTTGGTCTGGTACATGCGGGATATCGATAGATACAGCCGGACTCGGTAGAATTCTTTGTTGAATGATGGGCTTGCCTTGAATCTGGAATAAAATGATTTTACACCTGTACTTGTTTCTTATCAATCCTTCAAGTCCACGTCGAACTTAGGGCATTTTTAGGAAGCACCCACCATGCATTGCTTAAAATATGCCTTAGTACTTATTCATAGTAGGTGCTACTAAGCGCTGGAGTCGAAATACTCAACTTAAAAATAAAGACCACGAATCAGCTAGACTTGAGTTCGGCACTTTTGTGATAGATATTTTAATATTTAGCTATCGTTAATAACATTTTTATAATAGTATATGAAAGTCCATAGCTGAAGATAGCCCCTCCCCCCAGAGATTGCCTCATAGGAAGATTTTGCTAAAGTTGCCACGCTTGGTACCGCAACCGCATTTTTTTATTATTTTACATTGCTATCAAGAAGATGCTGCCCATCTGTTGTTCTTTGTAGCCTCTTACGACACCCATGGAACGATTTGGGGTAGTTTATATTCTTACACGCTACTTCATTAGTCTCATTTGTCGGTTAATAGTATGTAGTTAGGTTTATATTTTTGAGATAAAGCTTTTACATCCATGCCAACATGTTTTGTTTTCATACATTAATTGAACTTGTATTTTATCTGAGCAGTTGATATAATTCCTAACGATATTACTATAGTTTCGATCTGCATAAACGACATCAGAAGTATAAACGTGTAACTTTTTAATAAAATATAAAAGTAAAAGTAAAGTTACAGCCTATATACGTCCCACTGCTGGGCTCAAGCCTCCTCTCATTTCTGAGAGGATTTTAGGGCAAGGAAGTGTCCGCCGCGCTGCCCTAATGCGTGTTGGCGAACTTCACATGTCTTCGAAATTTTTTTTATTTTTTATTTCTCAGACATGCAGGTTTCCTCGCGATGTTTTTCTTTACCACCGAACACGTGGTAAATCAGCACTTAAAATTGCAATTAACAATTTCATTGGTGCCGGCGGGGATCGAACCCGGTTTGCTCGCGTACTGTGAAATTTACAGCGAGCGCTAACCATCTGAGCTACTACGTCTACTCAATAAAATATAATAGTATATAATTACACCTACAGTGAGGTTTTTCTAGATATTAATTCCTTACATATATAGAATCTCTCAATTATTAAAAAATCAATAATAAATACCTACGCGAATAGTATTTTAATTTTTTAAGCTTTAAATTATAAAAGTGCAATATTGCTTTCAGTTTATTAAAAAGTTTAAATTGTTTTAACCATGAATACGTTTTATTTAAAAAGTTTAAAAGTTTTCTTATGGACACCTGCGTCCATATGAAAACATTTTGTTTCCGGGTGGCTGGTGAACTTTCAGGTCTGTCTAAATCCCACCGCATTGATTAATATATGTAAGTTGGGAAAAACTATCGTTATATATACAGTTTTATCTATTTTTATTACACTTACGATTTTTGGTTCTAAGAGAAAATTTTTATTCAAGATATCAATAAATTGTATCCGTGATATAAAATGTTCAGAAACATTTGTAATATTTAGAAAAAGTCAAAGCCAAGGATAATAGAATAAGTCTTTTAATCCAAATTGATTAGTGTGGATACGGGTGGTGTTGCTTTTAACCAAGTGGAGACGCGTACCAAGAGTACTTACTGGTAACCTCAAGTTGGTTTAATCCAAACTTCTCAATCTCAAGCTCAGTCTTTACCGAATTTTCATCGATGTAGCACATTTGAACCGAATTCAATGTGATGTTTTAAATGCGTTCGGCAAAGGAATGGAATACTTTCATTTATACATTTATCTTTCCGTTTATTTACTACCACCATCGGTTATATAATATTATTAACAATTAGGTGGGTGAGTCATAAAAAATCAAACAAATTAATGATATGAACCAATTTTAAAAGCGAAAGCCACTTGGATCTGAAACTTTCCATCCTTCTACCAAGCTTATTATACCAATTGAAAAAGAACCAAATGGTGTGTAAACGTTCAACTAAGAAACAGAAGGGAGGAATCGAGGCTTCTCTCGATCCGGCCTCCTATAACGCCTACGTTGGGTTCGGGAACAACGTATGTGATCTCCGCAACGGAGTAACACACAAGGGCGATAACCTCTTCCTTTTCAGCAAACAGGTTCAGACGGGGATTACGGGTCTTCCGAAGTCGTCCCGGTCCCAACGCCTTAATTCTTCAATGTGGACTCTATAATTTTGAGGGATGAATTTCTTGGGAATAAAACAGCAATTATCTTCAAACCGTTCCGTGAGAGAGTAATTACTTTTCCCTATCACTTCCCTACACTTTTTCTTTCTTCTTATTGACTGCTGGTCTTGCACTTTTCCCGAAGTTTTTACCTAACAGCTATAAACTTCCTACTGTTTGACTAGATTCTTTTCATTGCCGATAGGGCTTATATAGGGAAAGTATCTTGGACTATTTATATTTAATATCACATATCATCGAAATATTAATATTAATCAGGCATTTAACTGTCATTAGTTTTTCTTTTGTTTCGTTTTTCGAAGTCAGTTTAATCGCATCGAAATTTAATGGCTTACACAATGAAATTTAAGGCGTGCAAAAATATTTGACAATTTTAAGATCTCGATCATTTATTTTTAACCTTTGGTAGAGAGAGAGAGAGAGAACCATAGCAAACTATGCTTCTCTCTCTCTCTCTCTCCCTCTCTTCTCTTTTACTTTGCCAACGTTCACTGCTAGATATAAAGAAAATTCGTTGTAGAAATTATTATAACTGCCACAAGGTAGGCAGACTGATGATCGCAGAAAGATTTTAAGCATTTAACGCTATTTTTCAACACCGTTTAGGTATTTTAAGCGGCGTTATATGTTTATTTTCGTCATTCATTGGAAGTATGTCTAGCATGAAAATCTGTCTAGCATTTTCCAATGACTTAACGACATAACAAAATATTTTTATAATTTTTGTAATAATTCGTACTTACATATTTCAATTACAATTTGTCATACTCTATTTCTTGTATATTATGAAACATTTGAAACATTTACTACGCATTCAGTGGAATAAGAAACAAAAGAATGATATAAGACTACATTACGGTTCCACAGAAGTCCCTTTGGAATCAGCTTCTTGGTATATACGTCACGTAATTTGAAAACATGGCATCGCACATTTTGTTAAAATTTTCCTTCGCATTTAAGGATTGTTATGATAAAAATTTTGATAACTCACAAAATCAAAGAAATTTTCAATGTATTTTTGGATAAGTATTCTTCTTGAGGAGTCACGAAATCAACGAAACCTGCAAATATTTTTATATTGATAAATACTCTTACTGAGAAGTCACAAAAGTCTAAAAACATTTGTAAATTCTTAAATACTTTTGTGACAGATCCCAAAATAGCCGAGGTTTTCAAATATCTTATTTTTATTTTTGGTCAATATAAGAACTTTATCAAAAGAATTTCCGCAAATGAATTTATTTATCGAAAAAATACTATACTCTTTAATTTTCAAGAACTGGCAGCATTATTTGAATATTTGTTATCAAACTTTTTTCCTATCTTATTTTATTTAAGAGCATTATCTAAAAAAAATGACAGCCTTTTCATACCATGTCCGGATACTAAAATAAAATAGTTATCTTTTGTTACACAGTCATAACAAACTAATACATTTGAATGGATTTCAGAATTAATTTTATAATATATAAGTAGTTTTTTTACGATTTACTATGTTCTTTATATTTTTTGAAATCTATTACATTATTTCCACGTGTCCCGGGTGGACAATAAATAAATGTGTTCGGAGCCAAAGAATATTGAATATTACCAATATCCTACCTACTCAATGCAATTGAACATTTATAAATATAAAACTAAACTATACTTGAAGGCGACCGGATTCTAACGCAAAAAAAACACAAAAAGTGGGTTCGAATCTGCCCTTCGACTACTTTCAGGAATTACTCCTAGCATAAGCATTTTAAGCTGGATATTAGCTTTAATAATTCATCTATTTAGAACTCATCCCCACAGTAAAAATACTTCCCATTAGTATCGTTAAAAGCACTGCTAGTATTCGTTAAAAAAAATCAATAAACTTCTTTTTTTATCAACCCGAAAACTAAAAATGGTTTTCGTACCCATTATAGCTTTACTATGTAGTGACGGTGTGAGAACACTTCTTCATATGGTCCAATGGATGTCGTTAGAGGTGCTAGGGGGAAACAAACTAAGATATGGGCAGAGGTGTCCTCCTAACTACAACTAGAATAAAACATTGCGATTTCCATCCCACCTTTCGCGGTAATCTATGGGAAGGTCTATGATCAGGACTGAACTTTGATCAGCTGTAATAATGATGATATAAAGATGTATCATTACAGTTTGAAGGTCGGATCTTAGATTATTTAATAGAATAAGGCTAAAAGAAGACTAAACAGGCCATCCGTTTGTAAGAGAATGATGTCGCCCACAGACACCTGCATCCAACCTTCATTAAGAATCAAACTGTTGATAGACCCCTTTTTTATATAGAAGAGGGGGCAAACGAACATACGGTTCACCTGATGTTAAGTGACTACCGCCGCCCGTGAACAACCGCAACACCAGGGGAATTAAAACATTGAAAACTAAGATAGAATGTCTTGTTACCAGTTAAAAAAAGTCTCCGGTTCGTCACACCCATCATACGAAATACAGCAGCACTAAGCTGTTATTTTGCGCTGGCAGTTTCAGTAAGAGAATCGTCCTTCTCCGGTTAAGCCGAACTATTCTTGCTGCAACTCAAAAAACTCACAATTTTGTTTTCAATGTAACTGTTTAATATTATATTATACAACGTAGCAGTGATTTTCCTTAAGGAAAATCGTGATGGAATTACATTGCCCGTCAAGGGATTCACTTAAATTATAGCGACATTTTACGAAGTTAATGACAATAGAATAGAAAAGAATAAAATGGAATTAGCAACACAAAGAGCCAGAAGCGGACGCGACTTGAATAAATTTTTCATACATGACTTTTATCTCAGCTCTACGAGCTACTATTTTAATGCCGAATGCTATTTTCCATTATGAATGGTGATTTTACAGCATTTTTTATAACTTTTAAGTAACATTATTTATAAAATTAAATATCAAAATTTAGGATTCTGAAAATTAAAACTAAATAATTAAAAAAGATACGATAATGAAGTGACTAGGCGTTTATCTTCATGGCAGCGGACCGCTGCTCTGTTTAGATTTTCGCGAGGGAAAAACATGTTTTGTATGACCTAATTATTTTTGTATTTGTCCACGTGCACATAATTTGTGTTCACAAAAACGCTTACAATTATAAAACACTTTTGCGACGCATGAGGAATTGCTAGTGTGTTTTATCTTTTTAAATAAAATTTATTTTGGTTTATTTTGATCATCTTCTTTATTCCAGTTCTTTCTAGGGCCGTGAAGAGTCATTTTCTCAATCTATCTTGCGGGTAGTGAAGTTTTAGATTCCATTATGCAGGAAAATTCTGAACATAGCAAGTTTAGCAGCTCTCTGAGTGCCTTTGAACTTACTTATACAGGCAGGAAAGTAAAGTGAAGGATCAAGTCCAGATTCATTAGGTCATTCACTGGCAATGCGAAGTAGTTGTATATAAACAAGATTTTGAAAAACAATGCGTAAGATAACGTATTTTGATTTCACTAATTTTATATGTAATTATAAATATCAGCACCATATATGAAGTTTTCATAAAATAAAATGTAAAAAAAAAACTAAAAATATTAATTAAATTTAATGGCAAAAAAACGTGAAAAATAAACCAACTTAAAACTTAAAACGTGATAAATGGAATACCTGCCATATCTGTCATATTGTAGACATTTATTTTACTAAGTAATAATATGGTTACCTTTGCCGTTAAATTTGATTAACAATTTCAGTTCTTACACAATTAATTCAAACAACAAAGACTATGGATGTATTTTATTCTCTGAGGACTAAAAAGTTACAGCCTATATACGTCCCACTGCTGGCCACAAGCCTCTTCCCATTTCCGAGAGGGTTTTAGGGTAAGGAAATTTCCGCTGCGCTGTCCCAATGCGTGTTGGCGAACTTTACATCTCTTCGAAATATTTTTTTTCTTATTTCTCACACAAGCCTCACGATATTTTCTCCACCGCCGGGCACGTGGTAAATCAGCACTTAAAATTGCAATTAACAATTTCATAGATGCCGTCGGGGATTGAACACGGGGATGCTCACCATCTTAGTAACCAAGGCTATGTGAGGATTAAAATATAACGAACAGCTTTTGTTTTAATAGCTTGTAATTTCGTTGGCCCTCTGATCACTTTAAAACGAATAACAGTAGAACACGCACTGCTGCTTGTCGATACAAAATATATTGGTAAGAGGGTATATCCACTCAGACGGACTCCGAGGCAGAAAAGGTATGTCTAATAAATTTAATATTCGTCGACTCGATTGCGACTATGTTATTTCGTTACGTACTTCAGTTGAATTTATTTTTACAATCCTTCTAATACTCTCCTAAAATAATATAATAAAGAATTATTTGATTCCTTTGCCTTCAATAAAAATTATATGAAGTTGACGCCTCCTCTGTATTTGTATACTATGTAGTCATAAATTGGCGGACCAAATCACACTAGTTTTAACCTTCCGGGGGAAAAATAAGATTTTTACTGGTATCCCAACCTATATGAACTCCCACTGGCAACACTATACACC